AAAATTACATACCGCCCTCTTTCGTACGTATGTCAGTTTTCTCGCTGCTTTTCAGTGTTGCTACATTAGTTACTCGATCATTGAGGAGAGCAACAACCTTGACTTCGTAATTGCTGTAGGGTTTCAGATTGCGCACCATGGTATTGGAAGATGAAGCATTTTCTACACTCAACAGGAGAATGTCACTGCTACCTCTGCGTATGCAAACAGCCACATAACCATATATGTCAGTGGAATTTAAGCTGCTGGTATTCAAAGGCAGCCAACTGACATTGACTGTTGTAGGACTGATGTTGCCGACTGTGACATTCCAACCATGTTGATAGGAAGCTAGAAAATCAACAAATATGAAACACGTTGTTAGTGTAAGGAGGTAATTTGACCACAACCTTTTAGTTTAAAACACTATAACCTTCAGCTGATACATGCACAGTTCAAACAATTAGGGCTTAATTTAACTGTGAATTAACCGGACCTTTTCCAGTTTGCACTTATGACCCCTCCAGTGGAAATTAAACCTTAATTGCTTCTGGAACAGGCTCGTTTCCTTACAAATGTTGGTGTTAGCTATCAACCGACATGTCCTACCACTATTATATTATCAGCCTAACGGTTAACTTACCATCTATGCCTGTGTTGTTCCTCACAAAATACAAAGCCTTCAATGTTGTATGATAATAATAATGCTGGTACACGTTAAGTCTGACTCGGGCATAGCCTCCCAGAATAAGAATTGCAAATGGTTCCTTTTGACCACAAATGTTCCTACTTTGGCCATTACGAGTGCTAACTGAACCAGACCTAAATACAGCAGGGAGACACAAGAAAAAAAATCCTCTGAACTTGACGAATAAATTCGATAAATTCCTACAGCCTTGTCGAATAGGCCTCGTTCGATATATCAATATTCTAACATCGATCCGACGCTTTCGGGTCAAAATCTCTGATTGCAAATTTTTAAAGTTTTCTTTGTCTTTCAATTCCTAACACAGCCGAAACGTTGGGACTTTTACAAAAAATTTTTACTAACATTTTTACATTTTTTAAACCAGAGTAACGTTTTTCAATCATGAATTGCGAACGTAGCCTATTTTGACAGGATTTATGACACGTTACGTCTTTACAGCGAGGACACTCGAACCATGAACACCTTTTCCCGCTTTTTTGGTATCTTCCAATCACGAGGTCGGAGTCAGAAGTCAGAGTAAACATTGAGCTATCATGGCTGACAAAAGTGAAGTGTACGTCTGGCTGAAATCGTTATCCTCCAGGAATGAAGTTAGAGAGACTGTCCGTGCAGTTCGAAATCAGGAGTTTTAGCTCACGAGGATCACTGGTATACGTCAAATCAGAGGATTTGGACTCGTTCCTTTTGTCTCGCGATAAGTTTTTCTGGGGAGAAGACTTGTTTTGGAGGCTGAACTGAAGTAGCATAAGAACAGAGAGTGGCCGTCAGTTCAACTTGAACCACCTTGAGCCAAAGCGACTAAATATGACTCCAAGTACAACCAGTGCGCCCCAGCAACGGTCACCTGAAGCTGCAGCCAACGTAAGTTTTGAAATGAGCGCGACCACTTTAAACCAAGGCCCTCAAACGATTCAAAGTCAATTGGACCGAGGAGCTGCAGAACTGTTAGAAAATCCAAAGCTACTAGAAGTGCAAGTAAAAAGCGCTAAGAGCCATCTACAGGGGAAACAAAAAACGCCCTGGAAGTTTTCCCAAATGTTCATAAGAGGCACTGAAAAGTGTGTGCTATTTGCCATGCGTCTGGCCAAAACAGAACAAATTGTAAGAAAATTCCTTGTAACGATGTCAGCACTTGTAATCTAAAGGACAAGCATCCCGAACTGTTGGCCGATATTCGCATTTTACAGTGTGAACTAAAACAACATAAACAAAAGTTTGAGACAGCTAAAAGTGACCACGAAGTATTTGCCGCTTCCCGCCAACGAGCTAAATCAAGTTTCTTTGATACCATTCGTGCACGTCTTAGAAAACAAAACCCCGCTAAGTACGCAGATCGTTCTTCCTTGGATAGAAACTTGATGATTCTACAGCGAGCGCTGAAAAATAAAGTTCATTGGAGGAAACTTGCGATTGGAGATTGCCAAATGTTATACTAACCGACACATTTTGTGCAATTTGTCTTTCGAAAACCCTTGATAGTGTAGCTCAAGCACTCTTCCCCGATACACTCGTGGAAGAAATTTACCATTGTCGGCTATCCCTTGCTGTCTATTGACAGCGAATTTACATTCACCTTCGCCGAACAAGGATAAAAAAAGGTAAGCACCATCAAAACTTGACAAATTACTTGAAGTTAGGGATAAAAATTGTTCTTACCAGAATAATTAGTAGTCAAGTAGGCATTTTACGTTCGAAAATGTAGTCGAGACGCAGCCATGAAACAACGCCTACATTATATTTTCTCGCCACCGCTGTGATTGGACAGCGCCTAAAAAACGCGAATCCTTTTGTCTAAATAAAGAGCTCTCATTGGATGATGAAAAGAAACGCACCAAAAAAGTCTACGTGGTCATGGTTCGAGTGTCCTCACCGTAATTTTCAACCATAAATAATGAACGACGGCAGATAATTCTGTGAAAGTGAGGCACAGACAGTCCGCAGGTAACGAGGCGAAAAACAAATTTACAACATTCGTTGCCCCGCAAAAAATTGCAAAACGTCTCGTTAAACCAGCAACGATATTGGTTTATTAACGAATTGTACGTTCAGAGTAAAGGCAAAATCCTATGCTTTATCACCAGATATAAAAAAAAAAATGATCATATGAGTGAAAAAGACACCCTTTGAAAAAAGAGCTGAACTTCTTGTTTGAGTGGCAATACAGCGTGGAAGTAGGCTCATAAAAATAATGGAATAATTGAAAATTCTTACCAGCAATACTGCATCTGGAAACGTTGAACAACCAGAAGTATGCTTGAGTTCACTAACGGTGAATGGAGTTCCAAGTAACAATGTCCTGAATAGTATGAGCTGCTTGTTATATTGATTTCACCTGTAATACCACTGAAGTTCCCTGCACAAGCTTTAATTGAAAGTACAGAAATTAAAAGAACGTTTCTCACGTATTCCTTGCTGGTAAAACAATTTTTTAAAAAATTGTAGATCAATTTGCGTACACTTTGAGAAACGCACTAAGTCCTTGATACACACGTTTAACGCAAATTTAGTATTGTAAGTTGATATTATCTACCTTTTCACTAGCTGCTAAGAGAAAAAAAGTCAAACCAAGCTACAGATAAAGGTCAAAGGAAAGTATTGCAGGTATTTTCACAACAGCTATGTTTGAAAATGAAATAAAATTATAATTTAGACAATTATTAAAGTAACGATTTAGTACACAATAGGTGACAGATGTTACTCTTAAATCACTAAAGAAAAGCTACTAAAGAATCAATCACAGTAAGTTTGCCATACACCATTGTTAATATATTAATCCAATGCAAAATTCATCTCTTACTTATTTTCATTTTTTCTTATATTATTGTTTCCATGGAAATATCGATTGCCACAAAAATATATCATACCAAACTTCAATCTATTTCCAATACGAGGCGTAATTTTTATATCGATCCGACCCAGGGACGACAGGTACAAAGCTCATCGTTAATGTTTGGAATGGTCCAGTAAAAACTGTATCCAGACACCTTAATAAAATCAAGCCTTTTGGGTGAGACTATAAATTAATATTACTTGAACATTTGAAGTAAGTGCTTGTTCTCACAGGATCGTTGTGCCTAATTGATTGATTAATTTCTTAAAAGATACTTCAGGTTACACAAAACCGCGGTGTTTTATCACAAATTTCGGCGAGAAATCCCACAAAATTGGCTAAGATCAAAGCGCGCCAAAAAATGCACCAAATTTCCCTATTTAACTAAACCTGTAGTGTGGTATTTCGCAATAGCTAAGTTAATAAACTTGTGACAATAAATATAAACACATCAAGCTTGTAGTTTTTCATTGGATGAGAAAAACAAACCGTTTAAGTGCTTTAAGACTGCTTTTTAGGAAATCCTTCATTATTAAACACGACAGTTAGCTACCAACCCGTGCTCTCATATGTGGTACGCAAAGGACCCTCTCCAGAAGGTGTACGACCTGCAACTTTGATTTCATATCTCGTGGCCTCCAAGAGACCTGTAATCCTCAATTCTCGGGTACTTGCGTTCACTTTGACAGTGGTGAAGTTCTCGTAGGAACCATAACGTCTATAATACACGACGTAGCCAAGAAGAACTCCATGAGTATCTTCTTCAGGTATTGGAGACCAGTTAATCTCAAGAGAGTTGGGACCATGATCGTATCCATACACCCATGGAACATAACCGGGAACTAAACGACAAAGAAAACTTCCGTTTGATGCAATTGTGAAACACAAAGCTGTCTTATTAAAAAAAAAAGAAAAACAATAGTTTGTAATTAAGGGGGTGGTGAGCGTTTCGCCACAAAATTCTCAATAGACACCATGGATTAATTAAGGTAAGTGGTCGAATAAGCAACACTTGTAGGTTGATTGATCGATACATGTGCTACCAGCCTATATTAGTTGGTGTTGAAATAATATTTTAAAGCGAAGCAACAGTGTAACCTATCTAACCTTTATTTTAACTTAAAACTTGCTAAGAGATCCTATTTTTTTTTTAATTATCTTCAGTATGCTAAGACCTAGTTCTTAGAAAAAAAATAAAGAATTTTAAAACCAGCTTAAAAGAAAACAAATGATTAATGGTTTTCAATTTCTCAGGAGGTTATTAACGTGGTTAGGACGTGGGCTTTCGAAGGTACCAAGGCGGGGAAAGCCTGCAACTCCGTTAAAAACCCAATAAAAAGCTTACAAGCTTTTCTCGTGTTCTTCCAACATCATGCGTGGGTTTCTTACGCCGGAAAAACTCATCGAAATAGTGGTCTATTGCTTAAATATTTTTCCCGATTGCCCTCTTTATCTTCAGATTTTCTCACTTCGTGCTCACCGCTTTTACAAGAAAACAGGATCTACTCGCAGTTTAAACATAAGTTACAATTCAAATACGTGTACATACCGCCCTCTTTCGTACGTATGTCAGTTTTCTCACTGCTTTTCAGTGTTGTTACATTAGTTACTCGATCTTTAAGGAGAGCAACAACCTTGACTTCGTAATTGCTGTAGGGTTTCAGATTGCGCACCATGGTATTGGAAGACGAAGCATTTTCTACACTCAGCAGAAGAATGTCACTGCTACCTCTGCGTATGCAAACAGCTACATAACCATATATGTCTGTGGAATTTAAGCTGCTAGTATTCAAAGGCAACCAACTGACATTGACTGTTGTAGAACTGATGTTACCGACTGTGGCATTCCAGTCATGTTGATAGGAAGCTAGAAAATCAACAAATATAAAACACGTTGTTTATGTAAGGAAGTAATTTGACCACAACTTTTTAGTTCAAAACACAGGTTATAAGCTTCACCTGATATATGCACAGTTCAAACAATTAGGGCTTAATTTAACTTGTGAATTAATCGGACCTTTTCCAGTTTGCACTTATGAAGCTTCCCGGGAAAACTGATCCTTAATTGCTTCTGGAACAGGCTCGTTTCCTTGCAGATGTTGGTGTTACCTATCAACCGACATGCCTTACCACTATTATATTATCAGCGTAACGGTTAACTTACCATCCATGCCTGCGTTGTTCTTCACAAAATACAAAGCCTTCAATGTTGTATGATAATAATGATGATAATTGTCCACGTAAAGTCTGACTCGGGCATGGCCTCCCTGAATAAGAATTGCAAATGGTTCCTTTTGACCACAAATGTCCCTACTTTGGCCATTTCGAGTGCTAACTGAACCAGACCTAAATACAGCAGAGAGACACAAAAAAGTCCTCTGAAATTGATGAATAAATTCATTAAATTCCTACAGCCTTGTAAAATAGGCCACGTTCGATATATCAATATTCTAACATCGATCCGAGGCTTTTGGGTCAAAATTGCAAATTTTTTAAGTTTCCTTTGTCTTTCAATACCCAACAGA